CCACCTGGAGGGGAGAAACGGACGCGTCGGGTCTACATGGAGGGGATGCAGTTGTGGGTTTGGCCCGGATGTTGCTCCCCGGTGTCCCTCTGGGCCGACCTGACACAATCGGGTGGAGAGGTCCACTGGTCAAAGCCCGTCCGTGGAAAGTCAAAGGATTAGATCTCGTGGTCAACCGCTCCAGGGTTAGGCGGGACGGGGGCCCTAGGGGGTAGCAATGCCATCGGAGCAACGGGCAACGCACTTCCTTCACAAAACTGGGCATGTTCTCTCTCGATAGCTAGATACTACCTCGGAAATGTTGCAGTTTACAAAAGGCCTTCAGTTAGGCTTCTGCGAAATGCGCTCAAACTTTTACCATAACCTACAAGGGCCACATGACGCCACCGTGCTAGGTCTCGAGGATTTCCGGCAAAGTATGATTTTTCGTGGATTTTAACGGCTAGATCCGGCATGTTGCTGAGGCACATTCACCCTTCGGGGGTGGGGCCTGCCCCTCCTTTGGTTGCACTAGGCCTACACATACCGCAAAGACATCATATATGATTTGACAAACCACTTCTGGACATTATTTCAGGTGGTCGCCATGCAGATCTGTAACTTCCCGCATTGAAACCCTACGAATGCAATAAATGTCTCAAATATTGCAGGCAGCCTCGAAAAATGCCATGTCCTGCGACGTGTCATGCGATGGCCCCCTTTGAGATCACGAGAAGTATCGAGGTCAACGGAGAAACGGGCAACACACTTCCTTCACAAATCGGACAAGTTCTCTCTCTATAGCAATATACTACCTCGGAGATCATGTAGTTTACAAGCGGCCTCCGGCCAGGCTTCTACGAAACGCGCTCAAACTTTTCCCACACATTACAAGGGCCATATGATGACACCGTGCCAGGTCCCGAGGATTTCTGGCATCATATGATTTCCCGTGGATTTTAACGGCCAGATCCGGCATTGCCGCCGAGGTACATACACCCCCGGGTGGTGGGTCCTGCCCGTCCTTTGGTTGCACTAGGCCTACACGTACCGTGAATACATCATACATGGTTCTACAAACCACTCCTGGACATCATTTCAGGTGCTCGCATTACAAGCGGCCTCCGGTCAGGCTTCTCCAGAACGCGCTGAAACTTTACCACACCCTATCGTGGCGGGCTCGGCCCGGTCGGGAAGCATGGGAAGGAGCGAGCCGTTTAGACCGATGCCCTTCTCCAAAATTGTTAAGTGTTTACTCGGAATAAGAGAAGAAAATACAATTGCAATAGCTTAAATCTCATTGGTGGAACCAGTTGTGGCATGGATTGATGACATGGCTCACATCTATCCATCCATCTCTCCACGCCACATGCCACATCCACCCATCTAAAGAAAAGGAGGAAAAAAAGAAAAAGAAAAACAAGACAGAAACCCACCGCACGCCTCCCCCCCTCCCTCTCTCGCTCGTCTCTCCCTGCTCCCTCCCCCCACCCACGAAACCCTCGCCGCCGCTGTCTACGCCGCTCGATTCCGGCGTGTTCCGGCAGCCCTCGCCGGCGCGCAGCACAGATCCGTGCTCCCCTGCCGCCTCTCTTCCCTTCCCTCCGGCCAGATCCGCTTTTGGCGGCCCCGAGAGCTCACCCACGACCCCTCCCCATGGCTAGGGTTTTGAGGGTGGCGTCCCCTCCAACTCCGGCGTGTCGCTGGCGACTCTGCTCCACCATCTTCGACGCCCACCGCAAGTCCCACGGGCGGCTCCGCCTCGTGGTCGGTGCTCCTGCACCCGGTGGCTGCGGGGCGGACGCACGCGGCGGGTAAACTCCGGCGAGACGGCGGCCCCCTCCACGGCGTGATGGCGGTGCACTGCATCGGCTAAAGCATCCCCATGGTGAGCCCCTCTGCACTCCTCTGTTCCCCCCTTTTCCTTGTATAATGATGCTTCACATTGCTTGATATGAATGTGATTTTGGTCAATCTTCACTTCCGCCTAGCTAGCTAAAAGAAACGTGTGTTTGTTTATGTATGCTATAACAAATCACGTACGTGTATGCTAGCTAAAAGAAGCAACCAAGCTAGTAGCTTAATTGATATACAGGAAACTAGCTAGATGTGCCTCTCTAACAATGTGTTCATCAGGCTGCTCTCAGGTATCGTTTGAGTGCGCCAATTAGTTCGGCCAGCCTCTATGATTTATTATGATAGTTGCCGGAGTACTT